CGGGGGCGATTGGAGTCAGGCAGGTGCGCGATCTCGGCATGGATTGCGCCGGGGGCAGCAGGCGCGCCCGCGACATCAGGAGGCAGAGGATCGCGCGCAATCGTGTTCGCCTCCCTTGGGTCCGGCGGCTGCTCGGGCTTCAACGTGGCAGGGCTGCGACAGCGAAGATCGCTTCCACGGGTCTGGCGCCGAGCCTCTTCTACGGCGCGAACTGCGCAGGGCTGAACCACTCCGAGCTTCGGCAGGCGCGCGCGATCATGCCTCGCGCGATCGAGCCCAGGCCTCAGGGCAAGTCGCTCACGGCGTGCCTGCTGATCGGCGGCCTGAGACTATGGATCCTACCTTCATTGCTACCTTGGCCCGTTGCTTCACCTTAGCCAGGGCGATCTGGGTGGACTGGGTACCTTTGAGCCAACTGCGGCCCGCGTTCGCTTGGGCAGCGGGCGCCGTCAGCTCCTGGCCGCAGGTGCGTGGGCCGATGGTCGGTGGCGATGACGCTCCATAGGGTTGGATGCGATCCCAGGGCCCTCGACCAGATCATCAGGCCGAACGGCGACGTCATCAACCTGCTGGAGACTTCGCCCTGGCACTTCAAACAGGCGCTCACGGCAGACGTGAAGACTTGGCAGCTTCAGCAAGTGGCCGAGACCACTCATGCGGACATAGCTCACGGTGCTTTCATGCTTCACATCAGGTGTTGGGGTTGCAACGGAAAGGGCAGCGCTCACCGGGCGAGGAAGTGGGGGCCTCTCAACAACGACCAGCGTGGCTACATACGCTCAGTGGTGGTGAACTGTCAGTGGCCGAACGGCAGGCGCTACTTGGATGCGCCCAGGCTGGCGCGCTCGCCGTGCTGCCAACTGCACCCTGGCGAGCCTGGTGCGCTCTGGCATCGGCGCGCTGGCTGCGAGGACAGTTGGCCTTCCTTCACTCTGCCTGCGGAGATTGCGAAGCTCGTCCCCTTCGGCAGCGGCGTGGCGATCCGCGCGCTTGTTGAGCGGCTTCTGCTGCCCGAGCCTCTGCACCAGTGGCGGCTGCCTGGCGACGACCTGCTGGCGCGCGTGCAGTGGATCAAGGGCGGCGGCGGCTTCCCTTTCGCGAGCGCCACGCTCAACTCTGACGGTGCGGTCTATGAGGCTGGGCCATCGCTGGCTGCGTCGGCCCGCGGTGTCGCCGGGCTGCCGTTCGGAGGTGCCGGTTGGGATCCTGGGCCCCAGTCGGCGATCGAGGCTATGGGGGCGCCGCTGCCAGGGCCTCTGCAGTCGACCGACGGCGCCGAGCTCCTCGGCCTGCTTGTGATCCTCAAGCGCAGCCCCCCGCCGATCACGGCTGCCTTTGGCGCGTCGTGCGTCGCGAACGGGCTCCTGGAAAGAGGACCTGCTGGCGCTGCGAAGGCCGCTGCCGCATGGGGTTGTGTCTGGAAGAGGGTGTGGCAGGCCCTGGGCGACTTCGGCGCCGTTGGCGACGGTCGCGTTGCCATGCTGGAGGTCGCAGCGCATGCGACGGTGATGAATGTGCGCGAGGGGTTTATCTTTGCCAGGGGCCGCCGCGGCAACGTGGGGGCCGACAGGTGCGGGAGGTTTGTGGCTGATGCTGTGCGGGTCCCGGGTGGCCTCAGACAGGCGTGGCAGCGGCGCGCGCTCACGCTGGGCGGGGTGGTCTTCTGGGTGGCCAGGGCTGGTAACGAGGCTGCTAACGTGAAGATCGACGTGGATCTCGACTTTCACGAGCAGCGTAAGGGACCTCAGCTGGCCACCAGGCACGATCCCATCGTGCTGACGGGCGGAGGCATTCGCTGCAGGGTCTGCCTCAGGTCGGCGTTCACCGCCCAGGGGGCCAAGCGCCTGCTTGGCGACCCGTGCTTTCCGAAGCCCTTCGCTGCCGACGCCGGCGGAGCGCGCCGCCGGCCACCGGCCTCGGCACTCCCTGCGGCTGGTGCGGCGGCGGTGGCGCTGGCGGCAGCCTGGCGCCTCGAGGCTGAGGCCAGCGGCGCGCAGGACGACGCCCCTGCAGCCGCGCGCGGCAGGCAGACCGAGCCCTATGCCGCCGCGCAGGGCCCAGCTGCCGCCGCGCCCGACGGCGGCGAGCGGGCGGGCGGCGTGCAGGGTGCCCGCGGACCTGCGCCTGCCACTACTGACGGCGGCGTAAGGAGGAGCAGTACGCGGCGCGACCTCCCTGGGGCTGCTCGCGACCTAGCGCCTGCCGCGTCTGACGGCAGCGCTAGGGGCTTCGGCGGCGGGATGCAGGTAGACCTCCCTGCGCCCGCGGGTTCTGGCAGCACCGAGGCGGCCAGCGACGGTGGCCGCCAGCTGATCAGCATGGGCGGCTACAGAGCTTGCACCGGATGCAGAGCCTACGCCAAGGAGGTGAAAGGCAAGCACCGCTCGCTGGGCAAGACCTGCGAGGTAGTGTCGGGCAGTGCCTCGAGGTTGAGGAACCTCAAGATTGAGAATATCCGCCAGGGCCGAGACCCCAAGACGGGCAGGAAGCCTGGCGGAGTGTGAGGCTCGGCTTGCGGCAGCGCTCGAGGGATTTGCCCTGGCAATTTTCTCGCGGGCTGTTCAATCAGAATGGTTGCCGTCGGCCCGAGCCTCCAGTGCGGACGGTGCTCGCAGCGAGCGCCGCGCTGGCGATGCAAAACAAGTTGCGCGAATGCTCGCTAGGGGGCCCCAGGGGGCTCCGGGAGGCAATGGCAGGCACCAGGAAGTCACAGGAGGCACCAGGAGGCCCAAGGAGGCCCCAGGAGGCCCTGGGAGCCCCCAAGAGGTTCAGAAGGCCCCAGGGCGCCAACGGAGGCCCCAGGGGGCTTCAGGAGGCCCCAGGAGGCCAAGAGAGGCACCAAGATTTTCCAGGAAACCGCAGAAACCGCTAGGAGGCCACAGGAGTTGTTTCAATTCTATGTGTCGTGCGTCTGTTCAAATTGTTTGGGCTTCTCCTGGGGCAGGAATCCGATGTGTTTTAAAGCATGTTCCCACATATTGCCCTTCTCCTGTGGCTGCAGCCCTATGCGTGCTTGCGTGTGCTACTATAGAGTGGGCTTCTCTTGGGGCCCGAATCCTTTGTGTTCTACGTATGCTCCTATACATTGCCCTTCTCTTGTGGCTCCACTCCTAGGTGTTTCACGTCTGTTCCTATAGATCGGGCACCTCCTGGGGCACGAATCATCCCCAGGAGGCCCCATGAGGCACCAGGAAGTCCCAAGAGGCACCAGGAAACCTTAAGATGCACCAGGAAACACCAGGAGACCCCAGGAGGCCCCGAGAGGCTCCAGGAGGCCCCAGGATGCCTGAGGACGCCCCAGGAAGCCACGGGAGGCCCCATGAGGCCCCCCGGAGGCATTGGGAGGCCCCGCGGCGCCCCAGGAGGGCCCGGGAGGCTCCAGGTGGCCACAGGAATGGTTTGAATTCCGATGTGTTTTGCATTTTTCTTATATATTAGGTCTGTCCTGAAACACGAGCGCCCTGTGTGTTTACGTATGTTCGTGCATTTTGCCCCTCTTGTGGCTCCTATCTGATGTGTTTTAGGTGCGCTCGTATATTGCGGGCCTCTGCCGGGGCGCGGATCCTGTGTGTGTGTGCGTGTGTGTTCACGTATGTATGTACGTATGCATGTATGTATGCATGTATGTATATATGTATGTATGTATGTCTGTGTATATATATTTAAATGTGTATAACCCCTCTCTTGTGGCTCCCCCCTGCGTGCTCTGCGTATGTTCTCATCTATTGGGCATCTCCTCGGGCACGTGCCCTTGGTGTTTTACGTATGTTTCTATACACTGCGTCTCTCGCTTGTGGCTACAATCCTAGGTGCTTCAAGCATGCTCCTATATATTTGGCCTCTCTTGAGCCACGACTCCCTGGTGTTTACGTATGTTCCTATCGGTTGTTCCTCTCCTGTGGCCGCAGCTCTAGGTGTTTTACGTGTCTTCCTATAGATGGGGCCCCTCCTCTCCGTGGCGTGGGTGGCCGTATCACGGTCCAGCCGCTACGTGGGATCTTCTGGGCCAGCCAACGAAGCGCAAGGGTTGCGCACGGCGTTTGCATGGACACCCCTATTTTTCGCTTTCGCATGCAGGAGTGGTGCTTGGCCATTTCGACTCAGCCACGTCCAGTCATGCTCAGGCCACTTACGTGCAGATACACTCATCCGAGTCCTGTACATATTCAAACTTATGCGCGTAGACTACCTCGTGCTACTGAGACTCACGCACACCCCAACCCGTTCACAGTTGGATTCGCGCCCAGTCTGCCAATACCCAAGCCGGTTTATATTCGAAAGCTGTTGCGCCTAGGCATTCACGGCGGAACGGTCCATGCAAATAGGTGCACATATGGGGAGCTCCGCGGAGTGAGTATTTGTTAATGACGGCGGCGACGACATCGACGATATTGATGATGGTGGTGGTGATGATGATTGTGGTGGTGATGTCGAGGAAGAAGAAGAGGAGTCGGAGAAGGAGGACGAGGAGGAAGAGGAGGTGTAGAGTTATAGTGGGGTGAGGAGTAGGGAGTGATAGGTTCAGGGAGGAAAGGGGGAGGAGGAGGGAGAAGATGGGCGAGGTGGTGGACGAGTGGGGGGAAACGAGCCTGGGGAGGGAGGGGTGCGGCGGATCGTCCAGTCTTCGCGCGCGCCGTCCCTCCGTGACTCTGCTCGTCTCGGCCGGTTACGTGGACTCATTACAGTCGTCGCTGAACAACATACGAAGGACACTTGCCACATGTGTGCGCTGGCGCGCGCAACTGGAGGAGGAGGAGGAGGAGGAGGAGGAGGAGGAGGAGGAGGAGGAGGAGGAGGATGGAGGAGGAGGAGGAGGAGGAGGAGGAGGAGGAGGCACATATGTTCAAACGAGGATGGGGAGGAACACGACAAAGCACAAGACATCAGCCTGGCCGTTGATTCGGACTAGTGCATCCGTGGGACCTTGATCAGCCGAATTGTGTTTGGACAATCTGGACTGTAAGAGTTCTCTTTTCCCGATGACCTGAGTCCGTGCGCAGGGTGAGCAGAACTTTGACAATATTCTGGACCGCGTCGTCGGCTTCTCCGCGGCGTTGATGGCTGGTGCATGCTGTACGATACAGTTTGGTGCACCCACCCCAGCTGTCGGCAATGGTGAAGGAAAAGTACATGGAGTCGATGCGCGACCGATGGATGGGCGCACGCACGCATGAGCAGACGGATAGACAGGCAGAGAGAGAGAGACAGAAAGAGAGAGCGAGAGAGGAATATATATATATATATATACATAGAGAGAGAGAGAGAGAGAGAGAGAGAGATTAAGAGAAGGGAAGGAGGCGCACACACAAGCACACACCAGTAGACATACCAACAAGCACAACAACACAGCCGACGAAAACGACACAGAGGGAGTCTGACACACATATGTACATCCAGGAGTACACGAAGGCAGAGACGGGCACAGTCGCGTACGCTGACACGGGCACGGGAGCGACTGCAGACTCGGGCACGGACGCGGACGCGCAGGCGCGTTCGTTGAAGCGGGCCGTGAACGCAGGCTGACCGACGCGGAGACGGACGCAGACGTGTACGCATACGCCGACGTGGGCAACCGCCCATGCGCGTAGAGGCACACAGGCACACACCCCGACGCGCGGAGGCACCTCCGGGCGCAGGCAGGGGGCCGACGCGGGCGCCGGCGCTTGCACCAGGCGCGGGCACGCGCGCGGGCGCACGGCTTGCCCCTGCATCTGTGCACCTGCTCCCGAGGCCCAGATGAGGGGCCCTCCCTCCGTCGCACTGTGAGCTGTGTGTCGAACGCTCTGGGCCTGTTGGGGCAGTCGCCTGTCGTCGTCCTTGTCCCAGGCAAGCTAGCCGTGAGGCTGGGTCGAGGTGCAACGGTCTTCCCGTCCACCAGGGACGCTGGACTCGAGGCGACCCGCGCTGTGCGCAAGCGGGCTTTCACGCATTATCCCATCGCCGTCGCGCTCAGCTCAGCCCCATCGGAGCTGTGCCGACCGACTGTCAGGCTTTCATCCGTGGGAGTCTGGGCTGACCCCGCGGTGGAGTTGCGAATGGCATGTCTTTTCCTTGGACATACAGCCGAAACCGATGATGGGGATGGGTAACCCGGAGGAGGAGGAGGAGGAGGAGGAGGAGGAGGAGGAGGAGGGAGGAGGAGGAGGAGGAGGAGGAGGATATCCTTGCGTCCTTGCGTCCTCCTCGGCCCATCCTGGACCACTCCCGAGGGCGGCGAGCCCCGCTCGAGACGTGCCGGCATGGCCTTCCCGGGGGCGCTGCTCTTCTGCCCTGCGTGCCCCTCCTCCTCCTCCTCCTCCTCCTCCTCCTCCTCCTCTTCGCCCTCTCTTCGCCCACTCTTCGCCACGCGGTTTGCCACAGCTCCTCTCGCGCCTCACCCTGCTGTATCATGCGCTCCGCGCGTGCCGTCCATTCTCTTGTCTGTTGTTGTGCACGTGCGCCGTGGGCGCTGGGCTCCTTCCAACGGGCTTGCATCCTCACCGCGCGTCCTGCTTATCGATTTTGTCAGTACTGAGGACCTGAGGACACGCCCACTCCGTGGCTGAAGGGACGGTGGCGGTGGTTCATTACACGCCCCAGAAACGAGTGCCAGTAGATACTCCGAAATTCCTGGGATGTACCAGAGCCCGTGGCTCGTGGCGCGATCTGCGAGAGAGGATGTGGGACGCCTTCGGTTGCTGCGGGGCGAGCCCGCAGGGAGCGCGCCCCGTGACTCTCGCCCCCTCCCCCCTCCCTCCCCTCTGCCTCGCCCTCTTCCTCCCCTTCCATTCCCGCCCCGCTCAGTCTTCCCCCTCACCCTCCCCCCCTCACCCCCTCTCCCTCCTGTTACTTTTGTGCACGCAGGATTTTTTTGCTTTCCCGACATAGGGACGTTCTCTCGGTGCTTCAGGATGGTGCAGCGCGGGCCTCACTCTCGGATGGGCCGTCGTTCGGAAGGGTGCTCTCGCCCCAGCGCGGGCCACCGTTCTGGATCCGAGTCCTTCCTCATCGTTTCCGCCCCCTTCCTCTCCTCTCCCCCTCCGCCTTCCCCTGGTGGTCCTCCTGCTCCTTCCGCTCCGTTCCTTCTGCTCCTGCTGCTGCAGTTCCTCCTGCTCATCCTCCTGCTCATCCTGCTGCTTACCCTCCTGCTCATCTGCCACCTCCTTCTCATCCAGTGTGCACAGCTTCCATTTCCAGATCGCGCATTGCACGATGGGGTCCAAGTTCGCTATGACACCTTTCGGCGGATAGAGTCAACATCAGCGCAACGGGAAGGTATGGGTGGGAGGGGTATACTGTCAGATGTGGCGCGAGCGCACCTAGCTTGTCCCTTACCCCTCTTCCTCCCTCTCCCCCCCCCTCGCACTCAGTACTCCGCACCCCTCCCCCTCCTCCTCCCCCTCGCCCTTCTCCACATAGCCAGGGGCTTACGCTCTAGCCCGCAAGCATCTCTGGCAATCGTGCGCACCGACCCCCTTCCCGTCGCAGCCACGACTCACGTTCTGGCCCGCAGGCCCCTCCGGCAATCGTGTGCACCCTCCCTCCCCCTCGGAGCCAGGGCCCTGTCCCCTGGCCCGCACGCATCTCTCCTTCCCCGACGACGACGCATCTTTTCCCCGTGACACGGGCCCCCGTGGCTCTCGACCCCGTTCCCTTGGGGCCTTCCCTCCTCCTCCTCCTCCTCCTCCTCCTCCTCCTCCTTCTGCTCCTCCTCCTCCTCCTCCTCCTCTTCCTCCTTCTCGTCCTGCTTCCTCCTTGACGGCCCCCTCCAGGGCCGGGAGACAACCCCTTTCGGACGCCGAACGCGTCCTTTTCAAGCACCAGCTGTCGCGACGTTCCGGCGTCGCGCGGCTCTCCAGGGTCCGGCAACTCGCAAGGGCCTCGATTCGATTCCTCCGATTCGACTCGATTCGATTTCGAGGGCTTCCGATTCCAATTCGATTCGGCTTGAAGCTGGGATCTTGAGTTGGGTTCCGATTTCTTACTGGAGGCATACTAGCCTGCCGATTTCCGCCGATTCGACTTTGACCGACTCGGCTGCCGATTTCTGCCGATCCGATTCATTTGGATCGCCGATCCGACATCGATTCGATTCTGGACTCTCCTGCACTCCTGTACACGACCCCATCCCTCGAAGAAGAAGAAACGTCACAAGCATAAACTTTTGGCGCTCCACGCAGATTTCTTGGATCAGCGCAGGCGCTGCCAGGGAGGCCCAGCGAGGATCCAAGAAATCCGCGCGGAGCGCCAAAAGTTTATGTTTATGGTGTTTTTCAATCGTCGAATCCCCTGCTCCTCCTCAGAGAGCCGACGTATTGTCTTCGGGGTCCCGGGAAGTCCCAGCCCTTTCCCCATGGCCGGCTTTGCACCCTGAGTTGTGAGTCGTTTTTTGACGCTTCTGGGGCCCCGCGAGGGCCAACTAAGTACGGAGGCTTTTCGCAGTTTTCGGCCTTGGGGGGCTCTCGCCAGGCTTTCGGGCGTGTCACAGAGAGATTGGGGATGAGAAGCTAGTCCCATGGAGCGGGTCGAGAACTCGGGGGATCCCGTTTTGAAGAAGTCAATGCGGTGGATCTCTGGGCCGCACCTGGCGTCTTCGCCCGCCTTCGGGCCCCGGGGCCACCACGGCTCGAAACATTCCGCAGCAAGATGGGGTCCAGGCTTGGCTGCCTCGATACGCCCGTTTTGAAACGCAACACGTGCAGTGCTTTAACCGTCCGTATCAATACGCTGCGTGTTGGCTCAGCGTATCTGCCTACATTTGGCAAACGTATCGCGTCATACCCGCGCTTGCAGTTTGCGCGTTGAGGTCCACATCCGTACGCTACGTGTTGCGTGCTGCGTGTCGGGGCAGCTAGGGGTCCAGGGGCTCTGGTCATGATTTGTTGCACGAGGCAGCAGTTTTTCGCAGCGGCGGGTCTGAGGGCCTTTGGAGCGTCTCCGCAGAGGTCTCCAGACGTCCTGGTCGGGAGCCTTGGGACGGGGGTCAATGCAAACGGGGGTCCCGCAGGATCCTGCAGGATCTTGCAGGACCCTGCAAAGCCCGACTGGTCCGGGTTTGGATTGACCCGGGGCAGGAGGAATATTCAAGAATAGTGAAAAATAGTAAGGGGACGATTTCCTTTTAGTTCTCGATTATTTCGGTGCATTAGGCCCGACCTAACATTCGATCCTCGACCTGGGAACGCCTCCGGAGAGGCCCAGCAGAGGCCCGGAGCGGCACGTTCCTCGCCTTCCCTCGCCAGGTGTGGTCAACGTCGCGAAGCGCTACGTGCTAGGCCGCCTCGCCCCCTCCTCCCTTCTTCTCTTCCCCTAGTCTCCCTCCTCCTCCTCCACCACCCTCCCTCTCTTCCTCCCCCTGTCCCCCTCCCTCCCCATCCGCCTTGATTCTCCTCTTCTTCCTCCTCCTCCCTCTCCTCCTCCTCCTCCTCCTCCTCTTCCTCCTCCTCCTCCTCCTCCTCCTCCTCCTCCTCCTCCTCTCTCCTCGTTCTCCTCTCTCCTCTTCTTCCTCCGTCCTCCCTCCCTCTCCTCCTCCTCTTCCTCCTCCTCCTCCTTGCTCCTCCTTGCTCCTCCTCCTCCTCCTCCTTCCCCCTCCTCCTCCTTCTCTGCCCTCCCTGCTTCTTCTTAGTATTCTTCCCTCCACCTCGTCCTCAGCTTTCTTCTGGGCGCGAGTCAGTGCCGGGAAGGTTGGGTGTGAACCGCTCGGCTGGCTCTGATCCTCCCGGAGGGGGACGGTTGGGTGTCGGTTGGGTGGGAGGCGGGAGCGAGGGGGAATGTTGAAGAGGGAGGCCCCCCCTCCCCCAGGAGGAGGAGGCCGGTGAGGAGGCTCCGAGTAGTGGGCTGTCCAGTTTTTTAGTCGGGTCGGTTCGACCTGGAAACGACTTTGGCGCCGCTTCGTCGGCCCAGGTATTTCACGTGTGGGGTGGGCGGATCGCGTGATTTGGTGGTCTGATCTTGCGTTGCGGGAGACGAATATGGTAACGGGCGACGTGGGTGCGTGGGTGGGGGAGGAGTGATGAGGAGGGTGAGGGAGGGAGGAGGGATTTATGAAGAGGCAGGGGTGGGGAGGGCGGAGGGACAGAGGGGGAGGAGGAAGGAGGGAGGAGGGAGGCTGGTTAGGCCACTTTGCAGGACCTGGTGGGTCTCGTCGCGCACGCGGCAGAACATGTCCAAAACATCTGTCAGACATTTCCGAACAATTTCCGATGGGCCGGAAACATCTCCAAACCTTGCCAGAACATCTCCAAACTTTTCCGGAGTGGGCCAACAAAATTCCGAAACGTCCCCGGAACATCCCTGAAACATCTCGGGGGGGCGGAAGCATCTCCAAACCATCTCCAGAACACCTGCGAAACACTTTCGGGGGGCGAAACATCTACAAACTATCTCCAGAATTTTATCGAAACGTGTCCTTCGCACTCGCGAAATCGAAAAGCGATGCTGTCACGCCGGCTGAAAAAGCTGCCGCGCGAGCCCGATTCCGTTGATGGAGTGAACCTCGCCTGACATGATGTAAATTACAATGCAGAGCAGAGTTGGTCATGCGAGCCCGATTCCGTTCGCGGGCCGAACCTCTCCCGGAAAACATTTCCAAGCACCTCCAGAAAATTTCCGAACATCTCCCGGGGGCGAAAACATTTACAACACATCTCCAGAACCTCTCCAAACATCTCCGGGGGGCGAAAACATGTGCAAAACATCTCCGGAATGTCTCCAATTTTCGCCAGGGGCGAAGACATCTGCAAAACGTATCCGGAACATCTCCGAAACATCCCCGGGGGGCGAAATCATTTCCAGGACATATCCAAACGTGTCCGAAACATCTCTGCCCCATCCCCTGGGGTAGCCCGCGTTGATGGTCGTGGACGTGGCCAGAGGTCGGCGTTCCCGGCGTGGAGGAGGGAGGAGGGAGGGGGAGGAGGGAGGAGGAGGGGAGGAAGGAGTCAGGAGGGAGGAGGGAAGAACGGAGGGAGAGAGGAGCAGGAGGGAGGAGGGAGGAGGTAGTAGGGAGGAAGGGAGCGAGGAGGGAGGAGGGAGGAGGGAGGAGGAGGGGGTAGGGTGAGGAGGGAGGAGGGATGAGGGGAGGAGGGAGGAGGAGGGAAGAGAGAGGGCGGGAGGGAGGGTGGGAGGGAGGGAGGGAGGAGGAGGAGAAGGAGGTGGAGGAGGAGGAGGAGGAGGATGCAGGTCTCGCATATCGATCTCAGCGTCCTGCGAGTGCGAGGCGGCGTGCGTGCGGTAGGACGGCGGATGGGAGCTCGCTGACGGTGCTCTTCGTCGTCGTCGTCGTCGTCCGTCCGTCGTCGGGCCGCTCGCGAGGAGGAGCCGCGCGCGCACCAGGCTCGTGCGCGGACTCGACGCACCAGTGCCCGCCGAACATCGTGGAGAAGTTCGACATCTTCGGGTCCTGGATGGCGTCCTTCGGAGGGGCCCGGGGCGCTCCTCTCTCTGCCCGTGGGCGGGCCTCTCCCCGCCCCTGGCCTCCCTGCCTCTCCTCCTCGTGCCCGGGGCAGCTTGATGTTCCTGCTTGGGCCCGTCGAGCACGGTAGGGATGTTCGACATCTTCGGATCCTGGATGGGCCAAGGCTCGAGCAGGGCTGGGGTGTCAGGTCTGCAGAACACCCCTGACGGACGTCAAGGGGCGCAACCAACCTGTTCTGTCTGGCGGACATGGATGCACCACACCCGACGTCACGCCAAAATTTTGGACATAAGCGAACGGTTGGACTGTGCACATATGCGTCGGCTTCGCAGGCGAGGCGTTTGACCGCCTTGGCGTCCCTTCATCGGTGGTCCTGCAGAGGAAGGCGCTCTCAGACCCTCGGCGGGCCCTCGCGGTTCGGTCGACCCGGTCGGTCCGGTCGCGTCGCAGTCGGTTGCGTTCGGCCGGTCGGCTGTCGTGCTGCTGCCGCGTCGCGCTGCCCTTCTCGGGCGGCCTGTGGCTTGTCAGCCCGGCCCGCGTTCGGCTGTGCTGTCGCCCTTGGACGGCCCGGATGGCGCCGTTCGGAGGAAAGGGGAGGAGGACCGAGGTTAGATTCAAGTCGGGCATGTCCCTCTATAGGGAGAGTATTCAAAAATAGTCAACGAATCGTATGGCGACGATTTTTTTTGACTATTTTGGATTCTTTTCCGTTTTTCTCTTATATATATACAAGACTGCAGTGGCGCTGCGCGCCATGCACCTTGGTCCTTTGGATTTCGCACGCTAGCGGAGTGCGAGCGTGCGTACATGCGCGCGCACACATGCGTCTATGAATGCATAGTACACATGTACATGTATCTGTAAATGGTCAGTGTAACTATGCGTGCGCATACACATGCGTATATCAGGCGGTAGTGGCCTGACCAGTTGCTCGCATCATCGCGCCACTAAAAGGCGCGAGGGTCACAGGCAAACGTGGTCAGACTACCATGGGACAGTGCGTCGCCGAGGTCAGTGTTGCGAGGACGTCCCGGGTGAAAATGGCCTGAACACCTCCGCTCAGGGGAGGGCATATCCGAAGTCAGCCGCGCGAGGAAGTTTCAAGCGAGGAGTGGTCTGAACACTTCTGCTCAGGGCATCCTTGAACTTAGAGTTGCGAGAAGTCGCACGCGAAAGTGGCCGAACCACCATGGTGCAAGGCACCTCCGAAGTGAGACTTGCGAGAGTGTCTCAGGCGACAGTGGCTGGAACACCTCAACTGAGAGTGTCTCGGGCCCCAGAGCTGCGATGATGTCTCAAGCGAAAACGGCGGGACCGATGCGAAGCAAGGCGCTTCTGAGGTCGGAGTTGCGAGCATATCTCTGGCGAAGTTCATTAGACTACTTTCCGTTATCTCTTCTTCTTCCTCCTTCCCCTTTTCGTTTCCTCCTCCTCCCCCCCCCCCCTCCTCCTCCTCCTCCTGTTCCTCCTCCTCTTCCTCTCCCCCCTCTCCGCTTTTTGTTTGCCCATTCTCCCCATCCCTGGCGGCGCGGCGCGGCGCCGCTCGGCCTCTCTGCGAGTCAAGCGGAGGAGGGGGATGAGGAAGAGGAGGAGGACGTTGCAAGTGTTCGCGCGGCCGTGAGTCCCCAGGGAGTGTTTTTTCCAGGGTGTATGCTGAAACCGAAGGTTCCCAACGGCCTGATTTCCGAAATGTCACAAAAACCCTGGTTCCCAACAGCGCGGCCGGATGAGATGGCGTCGTGGCCCCGACGGTTTGCGTTGAGCGTTGCGAGAAGCTCAGTCGAGGCGGGAGGAGGAACATGAAGAGGATGAGTAGAAGGAGGAGGAGGAGGAGGAAGAGGAGGAGGATGAAGAGGAGGAAGAGGATGAAGAGGACAGATTATGTGGATATCTGGGGTGCAGCCGAGGTGTCGCGGAAGAAATCCGCAGCAGAGACTTTGGGGAGTGAGGAGAGCTGCTTCTGCTAGACCTTTGGCAGGGCGGAGCGTGAATCATCACGGGGAATTAGGAGAAGGAGGGGGAGGAGGTAGAGGAAGAAGAGAATGAGGAAGAGGAGGAGGAGTTCTTGGGTCCTTCGGTGGTTTGAACGGAAAATGGCCTCGCTGCGCCATTGGATACGACAACGACGACGACGAAAAAGGCGACGACAAAGAGAAAGGATAATGAGAGGGGGAGACCGCTGTGCTGGGATCTCGTGGTGCGCCTCTCGGGGCCCTCTGGGAAGCAGTTTTGAAGCGTCTTGGGGGTGTTTTGGGGTTCTCGGGATCTTTGTGGGGCCTCTTGGGGGCCTCTTGGGGGCTCCTTGGGGCCTCTTGGGGGCCTCTTGGGGCCTCGTGGGGCTCTCTCCGGGCCTCTTGGGGCCCTCTCGCGGCGGAAAGTTTAGTTTTTGAATTTTTGGGCGCCCTCTTGGGTCTCTCTTGGGCCGTCTTGGTGCTCTCTTGGGCCGTTTCGGGCGCCCCTTGGGCTGTCTCGGAGCCCTCCTGGACCGTGTTGGGGCCTTCGTGGGGGCCTCTTGGGCAGTATTGGGGCGATCTCGGGAGCCTCTTGGGCCATTGTGGAGCGTCGGGAAGCGGGGAAAGCGAGAAGGCCCAAAACATCGAAAAACACACAGGGAAATCAACAATTGTAGCCTCTCGGGGCTCTCTTGGGAGGCCTCTTGGGGGTCTCTGGGGGCGTCTTGGACGCGTCTTGGGCAATCTTGGGCCCAGATTGTGCGTCTTGGGCCGATCTTTGGGTTTCTCGGGGCACTCTTTGGCCGTCGTGTTTTTTTTTTTTTTTTTTTTCGCGTCGCACTCGCAGGACAGTCGCGAAGCACTCTGCAGGAACGCCCCAAAGGCTCGGGGAGGCCGAAATTCGTTTTTTTTTTGGGGGGGGGGTGGGCACCGTGTGCCGCTTTTCCGGGGTCCCCAGCCTTGTAAAAATATATAATAGGAATATCTAACTATTTCTAACTTTCCTTCCGAAATACGTCTGTAGGAGGACATGCCCGTTCCAAGGATAGATGGCTTGGGATGCCCCTGAGCCTTGCTGGGCCTTTCATTGCTGATCTGCTGGTGGCCTCCACAGAGCTCCGAAAGACCTCTCGAGGACTGGAGGGATCCCCAGGGAGGTCGCCACTGGTGACCTCCGGGCACCTCCGGAGACGCCGCCCCTTCAGAGATCCAGCGTCCAGAGCTCTCCGTGCGGGGTCCGTGGAGGGCCAGCTCTCCACTCCCACTCGCTCTGGACGCTCTCGGAGCGGGTTGAGGACCCCCAGAGGCCGAAGACGGCGAAAGCCTCATGTCTTCGAATCTTTTCTCGCACGTTGGATGTCTGGGACACGGGAGCCTCACGCTGGTGCGGATGGCCTCCGCCTCGCCGCCGACGGGCAAAAAGTCTGGGACACGTGGGTGGAGACCTCTGGCGGACTTCCTATGCAACTCTGGAAGCTGGCCTTCTCTTCTTCGAGCTCTGGCTTTTGATCTCCGCGCCGATGCTGCGATTGCCGACTGAGCCCCGATTTCAGGAGATCCGACGGGATCTCGATTTCGTTCTGGCTTCCCGATCCGATGCTGGCCCTTGCTGCAACGTCGCAGACGCAAAAAGCATTCCGTCCCTGCTGCTTTGCCTTTTTTCGCCTCTCGGGCTTCTCCGTTCTGCGGCTGGGAGAGCGCGCGCGAACGAGACACCGCAGGCGAAGGACAGTGGAAAGGGTGCCCCGGGTTCCGTGGGTTTCGATGGTTTGGCTGTGGAGAGCGTGGCGTCCCATTGCCAAAAATCAATTGACGTCCTGGGGTCTCAGGGTTGGGGAAGGTCTCTCGTGGACTGGCCTCCACCGCAGGTCAGTGGTGAAGAGGTCTGGCTCCTGCCCCTCCCCCTCCTCCCGGGCCGGACGACAGGAGGCTGGCCGAGCTTTGCTGCGTGCAGGTGGCTTGGGCTCCGCTGCCAGGCCCTCTCCTGGATACCCTGGGCCGCCTCCAGCGCCGGCGCGCGCCTGGGAAGCCAGCTGCATGCTGCTGACTCTCCACGCAGAATAGACAAAAACACCCTCCACTGGATTGTTCCTGGGCCTCCGGGGAGGGTGGCGGTGTATAAATCACCACTGAGGGCCAGTGACTTTCTACACCGTCCCCTCCCTGAAGGTACATGCAGAGTTCGTCGGAGGGTGTCTGTGTAAAGTTTCGAGGTGCAGAATCGCTACCCCCCTTGGCTATGCTCCCCTCTCGTCCGCCCCGATCCTTCCGCTCTGGCCTTCCAGGGGGGCAGGCATCGGTGCCCTGGGGATCTCGCTGGCCGCAGTGTGCATGGTATGGACCATCGAGGGCCTGAAGGCGGTCGCCCTTTTGCACTCTGGCGGTGCGGCGCTCGTCTGGAGCAGCCACGACGGTGCTGGTCGCGACGGTGGCGACGGCAACGACGCCGACGTGCCTTGAATGCGCGATCACAGACCGAGCCACGGAGCTGGCCAAGAGGCGAGAGAGGGATGCAAACGGTGGTCGCGAGCTGGAAGGAGCGGGAGGCTGAGAGCGGGGGGAACAAATCTTGGGGGGCAACATGCGGAGGAGGAGGAGGAGGAGGAGGAGGAGGAGGAGGAGGAGGAGGAGGAGGAGATGGAGATGGAGATGGAGATGGAGATGGAGAGGAGGAGGAGGAGGAGGAGAGAGGAGGAGGAGGAGGAGGGGAGGAGGAGGAGGAGGAGGAGGAGGAGGAGGAGGAGGAGGAGAGGAGGAGGAAGAGGAGGAGGAGGAGGAGGAGGAGGAGGAGGAGGAGGAGGAGGAGGAGGGGGGTAGCAAGCTGGGACTGTGCCCTGTCGCTCGGCCTGTCGCCTTCCGCCAGGGTGCACAGAATTACCTCTTTGATGGGCCGCTCCTCTCCTGGCGGGCTTGGAACCTCCGGCCGACGCGCCTGGCCCCGGGGGGCACCAGACCTCAAATGGGTCTGGTGCCTGGGCTGCGGATTTGGGAGGGCGATGGGGTAAGAAAAGAGGGCGGGGGAGGAAGGTCGAGTAGGGTGGGGTAAGAGGAGGGGGGTAGGGATGGGGAGGTGTGTGTGTGTGTGTGTGTGTGTGTGTGAGTGTGTGTTAGGGGAGGGAGAGGAGGAGGGAGGAGGGGATGGAGCTGGAGGGGGAAGAGAGCAGTTGCAGCGACGATAGCAGTGACGGTGACAGCTGGCTGCCTTCGAGTTGCCATGGGACTTCGGGGCTAGAGGATGAATGAACGACAAAAGCGTGGAGCGACAATTAAGTGGGCATCTGCTAGATTGTGAGCGACAAGCCAAGAGTCGAGGATGAAGAGGAGGAGCAGGAGGAGAAGGATGAGTAGTGGCACGAGACGAACACGAATAGCGACGATAGTAGTGAAGACGAAAGCTTGCCGAATGCTGCAGAAGCTCATCCTGAAATCTGGTCAATCTTTGTGCGCGCTCAGCCGCATATGCCTCTTGCCTTGAAGCCCGCACTCTGCTCTACGGCCTTCATCTGCTTGTTCTTGCTTACATCTGCTAGGGCCAAGCCTATTCCAGCTTCCACTGGAAGGTGATGTGGCTGCCTGGCGGGGACGGGTTGACTTTCGCAGGAAGGAGAGATGACTTAGCATGACGAGGAGCAGCGTGTATACCCATACTGCAGTCATAGCCGTGGGATCAGGCCCGCTTTGGTTTCGAAACTGGGCTCGATGTTCATCTGGCCCATCCATGCGTTCTCCTCTCTGGTGTTCCTCGTGCATCTGCGAGCAGCCGAGGCTCTCGAAGGGGCTTCGTGCCCAAGCTTCCTCATGGCAAAACGTTCACTGTGCCTTGCGCGCAGAACTGGCCCCAGCAACCCCCAGCCGTGACGCCAGGCACAGACCCGTGTTTCCCTTGACTCGGTAGTTCGGGGCACGAGTGCCAGTGGGGCTGCTGGGGGCCAGCAGGGTCGAGAGTCGGGAACAGGCGCTGGCGGTGTCCAGGGATGGTGGTGCCAGCTGGGCACTGCTTCCCCCAGCAGTGCTCGTGCTGAAGGCTTCGTACAGTCAGGCCGCATCATGAGGACGAGTAGCTTTCCGAGGACACCCTCGCACCCTTGCCTGGCCTGCCCTTGGCAGGCAACGCAAGGAGGCGGAAGAGGAGGAGGAGGCGGAGAAGGAGGAGGAGGAGGAGGCGGAGGAGGAGGAGGCGGAGGAGGAGGGTGAGGAGGAGGAGGAGGAGGAGGAGGCGGAGGAGGAGGAGGAGGAGGAGGAGGGGGAGGAGGAGGAGGAGGGGGGAGGGGGTAGGGAGGGGGGAGGGAGGGGAGGGGGGCAGGGGAGGGGAGGGAGCTGCTTTCCCATGGCCCTTGCCTCTCTGCCCATCCTGGCCATCAGCCACGGGCCAGGGGCCTCCGGCTTCGGCTTCGATGTTTGGCAGTCCCAGGGCCTTGCGCTGTCTCATCGTGCATCCTTCGGATCCAGTCGCACAGTACTTGCCTGGGCGGTGTTCGTGCGGAATGTTTCTGATGCGATCGGCAGAATTCGCATTAGAGCTTTCTGTGTGTCTGTCTCGCTCTTGTTTGGTGTTGTGCGTTGTGTCTGTCTGTTTGTGTGTGTGGGTGCGTGGGTGGGATGTGGTGGGGTGGATGAGGGGTGGTGCCGGCATTCGCAATTTTTCTGTAGGACGCGTTAGTGCTTCACTCGTTTTTGTTAGGCTATATTTAGAGTCTTCCACCCGCTCCGACGTGCTGCCACATGCTCCCGTCTGTCTCCACGTCTTGCTTATGTGTTCCGTGTACTTCCGGTTGCTCTAGTTGATTGCAAGCACGCATTCAACAGCATTTTGGGATCCCCGTGCCGATATCATAGGCTGATTTGCGGTGAATGGGAACGTTTTGTGTCATTCAGTCAGTGCCGTTCTTTGGGGACACCGTGATCGCTCCCTTGTCATTCGTCGGCATTGCCAGTGAGGGCTTCATTCGTCAAAGCTCTCAGATCTTCGGTTCATCCTTCGTTCGCCATAGGTTCGCAGTCAAGGGTGCCGTCCTCTCGTCGCAGGTCCGAGGCCAAGGGCGCCCTCGAGGGCGCGAAGCTATTCGCGCCCCGCGCTTCGCGGTCAGGCTCCGATTCCTCCTCGTCCTCCTCTTCTCCCGTGGGAGGCGGCGCGAGAGCGCGAAGTTGTTCGCACTTCGCGCCTCGCGCAGCGCGAAGCGCGAAGTTGGGAGCCCTTCGAGGCATTCCCGACCGGGCCAGCTTCCCCTAAGAGGATGCCGAACACAGCGGGTTCGCGTCGTGCCGACCCGGCGCCGACGCCCGGCGCGGCCACTCCGGGCGGGAGGCCGGCGGCGGCCCGAGCGCGGCCACCGTGGGACGGCGTCGGTCCCCGGAGGGCCACGATGCGCTCGTTGCCGAACGATCCGCGCGTTGTCGTCGGGAGCCAGCGCAGGAGTCGTCACGACACGAGCCTGCCGTGCTCCTCGCCAGAGCGGCACGAAGCCTGCGGCTGCAGATGGTGATGCCTCCTCTCCGTCCGCGGAGGAGCGGGAGGCAGAAGACGACCCCGCCTCGCGTGTAGCGAGGCAGAGGCAGACGATGCCTCCAGCTTCGCCCGTGGACGGGAGGAGGGCGAGAGCGGGGGTCACGGGGGGGTCGCTGACTCTCCCTTCCATGAGGACTTAGATTTTACGTAGCCATGTTGTCTGTCGGAAGGCCAATGTCGTCAGTATTTGGAGCCCCTGACGCGTCCCGTGGCGCGTCCACTGCACGTCCCCCGAGATGTCTCCTGACGCTTCCCCTGGCACCTCCCCTGGCACGCCCCCTGGCACGCCCCCCTGTCGCATCCCCTGGCGCGCCCCCGGCTCGCGCGTCCCCTGCTCGGTCCCCTGTCTGTGCCAGAACGCAAGGTGGCCGATGCGCGGCCATCAGGGAGGAGGAGGAGGAGGGGGAGGAGGAGGAGGAGGAGGAGGAGAGGGAGGAGGAGGAGGAGGAGGAGGAGGAGGAGGAGGAGGAGGAGGAGGAGGAGGAGGACACTGCCGGCGGCCGCGCTGTGCGGGGCGACGTGGAGGGGGGAGGAGCATGGCGCGTCGCTCCGCCAGTTCTGGCCCACCGCGCCTCTGTGCAACACGCCGTCCGCTTCGCGGCCCCGAGGCGTCCACGTGCCGAGCTTTTCCGAGCTTCGCGTCTCGCGGAGCGTACAGTCAACCCGCATGGTAAGGATGGGCAATATCCCCAGGGTGCCTCCTTGCATCCTTGCCTCCTCGGTCCATCCTTGGCCACTTTCGTTCGCCGCGCCCCGCCCCAAAAGCTTCGAAATGGGCGTCCAAGGCCCTTGCATCCTCATCGCGCATCCTTACTATACGGGTTGACTGTGTCGTGACCTCGGGAGTGCGGATCAATCGCTTTTCCGGGGGATCGTGGTCTAGGGAGCGCGGATCACAGGGCCGTTTTACGGTGAATCGACGCACGGGGATCGCGGAGCCATGAATTTTTGCTGGAGATCGTGGCTTGTGGACAGCGGATGACTTGTACTTCTACATGGAGCAGGGCCCTCCGGATAAGAGGCAGCAACGTCGTTCGGGTGCGGGGACGAGCTGATTTCGGGCACATGGGGGTCGCGCGCGTTCTTAGAAATTTAGGGCCCCATCTTCGGAGAAATTGAACACTTCAGGCCTCCGCCCCGCACCAAGGGAGGAGGACCGTGCTCAGATCGGGGAACTGCGTGAGCTGCAGCTGAGGGAGGCTATGGCGTTCCTACTGTGTTTCGTGCCAGTACTTCCGCGTTGCACATATTTCTCACTTGCGTTTCGCGGACCTCGCCTGGCTCGCTCTCTCGATCCATATTTATTTTACACTCGTGCTATCGTGCCATACGCGTACATGTACTTTTTCCTTAATCTGCCAATATTGAGGATCTCCCGGTCTAGCCTGCTTCGGATCTTATACTTCTCGACCTCGATTGAGGTCGTAATAGACGCGCACAGAGCTGCCCCGTCGCCTCTTCGTCTGCCCAGGGGAATAATCTGGCACCTCGTGCTATGACAACTGGCGTCAAGAAAACAGCAGTTACCAAATTACTGAGCTCTTAGGAGTCATACACTGTTGAGGATTGCTTGGTTGCATGGCTGTGAACTACGATTGCTGAAGCCTGATCTGTTCTTTGCAGCCTGATTGCTCCCTCAAGGAGGGACAGCGGATTTTCACATGTGGTGCGATAGCCGTTGAAGTCCCATTGATTACAACCCGTTCAGAGCCGACGTAAGGCTCGGCATTTTAAGCAGCGGTGCAGGGGCAGGAATGTACGGCCGGCACCATCGTCATACACATCTACACGAAGAGAGAAAGAGAGAGATGGAGAAAGAGAAACCAGAGAGGGAGAGAGAGAGAGAGAGAGAGAAAGAGATGACGATAGACAGAGATAGAGAGAGAGAGAGAGAGAACGAGAGAGAGAGAGAGAGAGAGATGGAGAGAGAGAGAGAGAGAGAGAGACAGAGAGAGGGAGAGAGAGAGAGAGAGAGAGAGAGAGAGGCGTGCGTTCACTATCAAGTGGTATTCGGCCCATCCCGCCACCGTGCCTGGGTTGTGGGTCAGGGTCCTCTTGGATGTCGCTTGGGGTATCTTGGGATGCCTCTTGGGGCAGCTCGGAGGTCTCTTGGGGCCTCTTGGGCGCCTCTCGGGGGTCCTCTTGGGGACTGTTGTTTTTTGACCTCTTGAGCGCCTCTTAGAGATCTCTTGGGTTCTCTTCGGCGCCCCTGGGGGGCTCCTGGGAGCCTCTTGGAGGTCTCGGGGATCATCTTGGCACGAGAGGGCTTGTGGGACCAGTTCCGTTTTCTCCCTCTGGCGCCGAAAATTTGACAATGCATTGTTATCCAATCATGCAGCCCTCGGGAGATGCCGAGCGAACCACTCCAGAAGCGCCAGGAACTTGATTGGGTCCGGGCCCCTGGAAGAGTATTTACAGGGTTCAATGCCAGGGACCTCGAAGGGACTCGTGGCATGGTGGCTGATCATATCGAACGTCGCGGGTCTTCCCCTTTGCGAATCCTCGCCTCCTCTTACCTTCCTTTCCCCTTGAACGCTAGACGAGTGGCTCAATCGAGACCCGTTTCCTCTTTACACCCGACTGGGCGACTAGAACGGGCAGCAGCGCAATTGCAAAACATGTTTGGCCAATGGCTGGCGTGATGAGGTCATTTTGTTGTTTTCTCTCTCGCTGTCTCTCTTTCTGTCGTTCTCTCGTCTCTCTATCTCTCTCTCTTTTTTTTTTTTTTTTGTTTCTCTCTCTCTCTCTCTCTCCCCCTCCCTCTTCCTATCCCTCTCCCTCCTTCCCTCTCCCCCTCCGTCTCCCCCTCACTCTTCCTCTCCCTCTGTCTCTATATTACTGTCTCTGTCTTTGCCTATTTATCTGTCTCTGTCTCTGTCTCTGTTTCCCTCCCATCTTTGTCTCTGGGTCTGTCTTCTGTCTCTGTCTGCTGTCGTTTGTTCCCTACCTAGGCTCTGCCTAGAAGGGTTCTTACTATATGTGCTTAAAGGGCCGGGCAGTGTAGAACGCCCCGGGCGGTTCCCCCGGCATCCGCCCCGCGGATCCCCCAGGATCCGCCCCGCGGTTCCCCCAGTTACGTCCCCTGGATTCACCCAGCTTAGCTTAGCTAAGCTTAGCTTAGCTTAACTTAGCTTAGCTTACCTTTGCCTAGCCTAGCTTAGCTTAGCTAAGCTTAGCTTAGCTTAGCTTAGCTTACCTCATCTTAGCTTAGCTTAGCATAGCTTAGCTTAGCTTAGCTTAGCTCAGCTTGGCTTAGCTTAGCTTAGCTTAGCTTAGCCTAGCCTAGCCTAGCTTAGCTTAGCTTAGCATAGCATGGCTTAGCTTACCTTAGCTTAGCTTTGCTTAGCGCAGCGCAGCATAGCGCAGCGCATCATTAGCACAGCATAGCATGTTCTAGCATAGCCAAGCATAGCATATCATAACATATCATCGCGTAGCTCAGCATAGCATATCATATCATAACATAACATATCATAGTTTATCATAGCATAGCGCAGCATAGCATAGCATAGCATATCATAGCAGTGCTTAGCATAGCACAGCGCATCATTGCATAGCATAGCACAGCATATCATAACATATCATATCATATCATAGTGCAGCATAGCACAGCATAGCATAGCATAGCGCAGCATCTCATATCATATCATAGCCTAGCATAACAGAGCATCGCGCAGCATATCATAGCATAGCATAACGTAGCGCAGCGTATCATATCATATCATAGCATATCGCATCGTAACATATCATATCACAACCTAGCATAACACAGCACAACCGAGCGTACCCTAGCATAGCATAGCACAGCATAGCGCAGCATAGCGCAGCATAGGGTAGCATAGCAAAACATAGCATAGCATAGCATAGCGCAGAGTAGACGGCATGTATATGCAGGTGTAGATGTAAATGTAGCTGTCGGTGTAGATGTAGATGTTGCTTTCCTAACTGCTCCAACTCCTAGGTAGGGTCGCACTGGGATAATTTCTGTATTTGTCTTCTGTCTCCAGTTATGGCTTCCGTCTTGTGTCTTAGGTCTTTTGTCGTATGTCATGGATGTCTTGTGTCTTACGTATTATGCCTCTGTCCCTGTCTCTGTCTTTTTTTATTCCCAACCATCCTGTGGTGTTGGGTCCTCGTTTTGAAGAGACAGCGTCCCGCGTAACTCCGCTCGCTGCCCCCTCCCTCCTCATCTCCCATCCGTGCCTCTCCTCCCATCCTTGCGTGTTCTCCGCATGCCTATTTCGGCACACCCCTCACACGTTTCGTGGCCCCACAAGGAGCTCCACCGCAGGCCCCAGTGGCCGCATCCGCATGCGGTTCCCCGCCCATCGCGCGTCCATTTCGGCACACCCCTCACACTGTTCGTGGCCCCATAGGGAGCTCCACCGAACGCCCCAGTGGACCACCGCGCGTCCATTTCGGCACACCCCTCACACGTTTCGTGGCCCCATAGGGAGCTCCACCGAAGGCCCCAGTGGGAGGGTTCGCATGCGGTTCCCCGCCCACCGCGCGTCCTTTTCGGCACACCCACCCCTCACACGTTTCGTGGCCCCTATGGCAGCGTCCACATGCGGTTCCCCGCCCACCGCGCATCCATTTCGGTACACCCCTCACACGTTTCGTGGCCCCAATGGCCGCGTCCGCATGCGGTTCCCCGCCCACCGCGCGTCCATTTCGGCACAACCTAACACGTATCGTGGCCCTATAGGGAGCTCCACCAAAAGCCCCAGTGGCCGCGTTTCGGCGCACCCCTTACACATTTCGTGGCCCCATAGGGAGCTCCACCGACGGCCCCAGTGGCAGCGTCCGTATGCGGTTCCCCGTCCACCGCGCGTCCATTTCGGCAACCCTCGCACGTTCTGTGGCCCCATAGGGAGCTCCACCGAAGGTCCAAGTGGCCCACCGCGCATCCATTTCGGCACATCCTTCACGTGTCGTGGCCCCAATCGCCGCGTCTGCATTCGGTTTCCCGCCCACCATGCGTCCATTCCGGCACACCGGTTACACGTTTCGTGCAATGGCCGCGTCCACATGCGGTTCCCCGCCCAACGCGCGTCCATTTCGGCGCACCCCTCACACGTTTCGTGGCCCCATAGGGAGCTCCATCGAAGGCCCCAGTGGCCCACCGCGCGTCCAATTCGGCACACCCCTCACACGTTTCGTGGCCTCAATCGCCGCGTCTGCATTAGGTTTCTGGCCCATCGCGCGTCCATTTCGGCACACCCCTTACACGTTTCGTGGCCCCATAGGGAGCTCCACCGAAGGCTCCAGTGGGAGGGTTCGCATGGCAGCGCCGCGCCCAATTCGGCACACGCCTCACTCTGTTCGTGGCCCCATAGGGAGTTCCGCCGAAGGCTGCAGTGGGAGGGATCGCATGGCACCACCGCGCCCAATTCGGCACGCCCCTCACACGGTTCGTGCCCCTATTAGGAGCTCCACCGAAAGCGGTACCCACAATGCGGTACCCGCAGCTGCATATGGTTGGGTCTTACGTCAGGCTAATCTCTCTCTCTCTCTCTCTTTCTCTCCCTCTCTCCCTCTCCCTATCCCTCCCTCCTTCCCTCCCCCATCGCCCGAATCCTGGACTTATTTGACTTTCCTGTCGCTCTTGTCTCCCATCTTTCCTCCTGGCTCCTCCCATGTCTCCTCTTCTGTCTCCCCCCTGCCTTGCTCGTCTTGTCCCGTCTTTTTTTCATCTTCGCTCATCTCCTTTCACCTCTATCCTGTCCCCTTTCCCTCTGAGGTGTGTGTGTGTGTGTGTGTGTGTCTGTGTATGTGGGGTGGAAGTGGGTGTGTGGGTGTGTGGGTGGGTGGGTGGGTGGGTGGTGGGTGGTGGTTGGGGGGGGGGGCGCAGAAGGAAGAGAAGGAGAGGAGCCATCCTCTTCTCTTTCTCCTCCGCCTGCTCCTTCTCCCCTCTCCCCTCCTCCTCCCGCGCACTCCGTCCTCTTCTCTCACCACCTATCCCATCCCGTCCTCTTGTCTCCTCCCGTCCTCTCTCGTCTCCTCTCTCGTGTGGTTCCCCCCTCTCCTCTGGGAGCGCAGGCAACCTGGCCGGCATCTGCTGGGCCGCTGGAAATGTCTTCCAGCTCGCCGCCCTGACGCGAGGCAAGGGATGAGCTCAGAGGATGATGAGGAGGAGGAGACGGAGGAGGTGAGGAGGAGGAGGATGAGGATGAGGAGGATGAGGAAGATGAGGAGGAGGAGGAGGAGGAGGAGAAGTAGGAGCAGGACAGAGGGAGGAGAGTGGAAGGACGAGAAGGGCGAGAGAAGAAGGATGATGATGATGCTGATGATGATGATGATGATGATGATGATGATGATGCTGCTGTTGATGATGATGATGATGATGCTGCTGCTGCTGATGATGATGAGGAGGAGGAGGAGGAGGAGGAGGAGGGGGGTGAGGGTGAGAGCGAGGAGGAGGAGGACGAGGAGGAGAAGGATGATGATGGTGGTGATGATGATGATGGTGATGATGATGATGATGCTGATGATGATGATGATGATGATGATGATGATGATGATGTGATGGTGCTGATGATGATGATGCTGATGCTGATGTGATGCTGATGCTGATGATGATGCTGGATGCTGATGATGACGATGATGATGATGATGATGATGATGATGATGATGATGCTGCTGCTGATGATGATGATGATGGCGATGGTGGTGATGATGATGATGATGATGATGCTGCTGATGATGATGATGCTGTTGCTGATGATGATGCTGATGATGATGCTGCTGATGATGATGATTGATGATGATATGATGGTGATGATGTTGAAGTGAGATGATGTATGATGATGATGATGAGATGATGATGATGATGATGATGATGATGATGATGATGACGATGATGATGATGATGATGATGATGATGATGGTGATGATGATGATGGTGGTGGTGGTGGTGGTGGTGGTGATGATGATGATGATGATGACGACGACGATGATGATGCTGATGATGATGATGCTGATGATGCTGCTGCTGATGATGATGATGATGATGATGAATATGAAGATGAAGATGGTGATGATGATGATGATGATGATGATGGTGATGATGATGATGATGCTGATGCTGATGCTGATGCTGATGATGATGATGATGATGCTGATGATGATGACGATGAAGAAGACGACGAATGATAATAATAGTACTATGACGAATAAGAATACTAAGCAGACTAAGGATAAAAATAAAAAGAAGAATAATAAGAATAATAATAAGAATAATAATACGAAAAATACTAAGAATAATAAGAATAATAATAATCATATTAATAAGAAGAATAAGAAGAATAATAATAATAAGAAGAATAATAATCATACTAAGAAGCATATGAATAAGAATAATAATAAACATAAGACTATTAATATGAATAAGAATAGTAATAATATAATAATAATATATTAGTAATACTATAATACAAATAATAATACCAATAATAATACTAATAATAACACTACTACTGCTACTAATAATATTAATAATAGAGGGAGGACCACAACGAATCTGAAAAGATTCGTTGTGGGGTGGGGGGTCGTCCACCCTTTTTTGCTATGCTTTTTCTCTCTCTCTCTCTCGCTCTCTCTCTCTCTCTCTCAATCTCCCTCTCCTTCTCTCAATATATATCTCTCTCTCTCTCTCCCTCCCTCTCTCTCTCTGTGTCTTTTTCATCTCTCTCTCCCCTCTCCATCCTCCTCCTCCTCCTCCTCCTCCTTCTCCTCCTCATTGTGGGATCAGGTGGCGAGCCAATCGCTGATGCTTCCCTGGTTTGTTATTGAGGAATCCTGACAGACCTCGGAGGGTCGAAGGAAAGAGGAAGGAGGAGGGAGAGGGAAGAGAGAGGTGGAGGAGGGAAGCGCCACTTTTGCGGAGTACAAGCTGTTTTAATGCCAGCGTTTCCCTGACGTCCATACTGTCGACGATCAGTCGACGTTTGTACACGCCACGGCGCAGACTGTTAACATACAGTTAACCTGGTAGTGTATTGAGGATGACTTTCGATCACATAATCTTAAAATGAAAGTCGACGATCAGACGACGTTTGTAAACGCTACGGGGCTGGCTGTTAACATATAGTTAACTGGTTGTGTATTGTGTGGTGGCTATTGGGGATGGCTTTCGGTTGCACAATCTCAATATGAAAGTCGACGATCAGACGACATTTATAGTTCCACGGCGCAGGCTGTTAACACTTTCTATTACCGCGTGCCCTCTCTTTGCTTGCGGAGAAAGAGAAAAAGTATGCTAAAAAGAATCTCCCGGGTCGTCCCAATACGAAAAGGATTGAGCGGATACTAAAGAAGATGCGCGCCGACGCCAAGGCCAAGGCGAAGGCGAAACCTAAATCGCGTTGCAAGGCCGTCACGCAGATTGAGAACATCAAGATTGCACGTGCGCAGACTGGAGGAATTTATGCAACCTTGAACATGAAGAATCGCAACGGAGGCGGCAACGAAATTCTCCATATGGGAGAGATGTTGAATGGTGACAACACAGCATGCAAGAAATATTGCTTGGCTGATATGAAGAAAACTAAGATGCTTGTTGGCAACTATGCATGCGATTGCGGATGCGTGGTCGCCAAGCATTTCGAAGGATCTTTGTGTGACAAATGCTACCTGGATGGCTACCACAGCAAGAAACACAAATGTAACACACCCGCCATTATCCATATGAAGGCATTGAACTCCCAAGCGGCGGAGCAGTTGTGGTCGCGCCTGGACAAATTGACATGGATCTCCAAGATGAAGCGCGCCCGATACCGATGCTTCTTGTATCATTACTGCCTGTGGCGCAACGCATTCACTGCGCAGAAATTCAGAAAATATTTTCCAGGCCCATGCATGTCGATCAGAAAGATTAAGAAGCGCACACCGAAACGCAAGCGAAGAGAGGGCACGCGGTAATAGAAAGTGTTCACAGCCTGCGCCGTGGAACTATAAATGTCGTCTGATCGTCGACTTTCATACTGAGATTGTGCAATCGAAAGCCATCCTCAATAGCCACCACACAATACACAACCAGTTAACTATATGTTAACAGCCAGCCCCGTAGCGTTTACAAACGTCGTCTGATCGTCGACTTTCATTTTAAGATTATGTGATCGAAAATCATCCTCAATACACTACCAGGTTAACTGTATGTTAACAGTCTGCGCCGTGGCGTGTACAAACGTCGACTGATCGTCGACAGTATGGACGTCCGGGAAACGCTGGCATGTAAACAGCTTGTACTCCGCAAAAGTGGCGCTTCCCTCCTCCACCTCTCTCTTCCCTCTCCCTCCTCCTTCCTCTTTCCTTCGACCCTCCGAGGTCTGTCAGGATTCCTCAATAACAGACCAGGGAAGCATCGGCGATTGGCTCGCCACCTGATCCCACAATGAGGAGGAGAAGGAGGAGGAGGAGGGAAGTGGAGGAGGAGGAGGATGGAGAGGGGAGAGAGAGATGAAAAAAACACACAAAGAGAGAGAGAGGGATATATATATATATATATATAAATTGAAGCAGGAGAGGGAGATTGAGAGAGGGAGAGAGAAAGCATAGCAAAAAAGGGTGGACGACCCCCCACCCCACAACGAATCTTTTCAGATTCGTTGTGGTCCTCCCTCTAATAATACTAATAATACTAGTAATAATACTAAGGATTATAATAAGAATACGAATATTAACAATAATAATAATCAGCATACGAATAATAATAAACAGAAGAAGAAGACTACGAATAATAATAATAATGATAATAAGAACAATACTCATAATAAGAATAATAATAAGAAGAATGAGAAGAAGAAGAAGAAGAATAAACATAATAATAATAATAATAAGAGAATATTAATAATAATAAAAATAAGAAGATTAATAATAAGAAGAAGAATACTAATAATAATAATAATAATAATAAGAATAATAATAATAATAAGCATATGAAGAATACTAAGAATAATATTAATAATAATAATAATAATAATAATAATAATAATAATAATAATAATAATAAGAAGAAGAATAATAAAAAAGAGGAGGAGGAGGATGAGGAGGAGGAGGATGAGGAGGAGGACGACGAGGAGGAGGACGAGGAGGAGGCGGCGAACGAGGATGAGGACGAGGACGAGGACGAGGAGGAGGAGGAGGAGGAGGAGGACGAGCAGGAAGAGGAGGAGGAGGAGGAGGAGGAGGAGGAGGAGGAGGAGGACGAGGAGGAGGAGCAGGAGGAGGAGGAGGAGGAGGAGGAGGAGGAGGAGGAGGAGGAGGAGGTGGAGGAGGAGGAGGAGGAGGAGGGGGGGAGGGAGAGGGGTGCGGGGCTCCAAGGACACAGCTCCTGGCCTGGGGGCCAGAGGATCGGCGGGGATCTAGAACGGGGTGGGAACCGGGCGAGAACTTGCAGGGTGCGGGGTTCCAAGAACACAGCTCCTGGTGGCCAGGGTGTCGGCGGGGGGTCTAGAGCGGGGTCGGATCCCTGCGAGAAATTGCAGGGTGCGGGGTCCCAAGGACACAGCTCCTGGTGGCCAGGGTGTCGGCGGGGGGTCCAGAGCGGGGTCGGAACCGAGCGAGAAATTGCAGGGTGCGGGGTCCCAAGGACACAGCTCCTGGTGGCCAGGGTGTCGGCGGGGGGTCCAGAGCGGGGTCGAATCCGAGCGAGAAGTTGCAGTCCTGTGCGGGGTCGGACCGGGGGCGGCCAGCTCGGCTCGGTGGCAGGAGTTGTCGGGGGGGCCCAGAACAGAGTTCCCGGGACGGTGCAGAGGTCGGACCAGGTGGACGGCAGGGTCGGCTCGGGGCCAGGAGTTGTCAGGTGGGGGAGTTCCCAGGACGGTGCGGGGGTCGGACCAGGTGGGCTGCAAGTTCGGCTCGGGGCCAGGAAGTGTCGCGTGGAGGGTTCGAAGTTCATAGTTCCCAGGACGGTGCCAGGGTCGCTAACACACACACACACTTCTCCTCACACGCCCCATGGGGTCAGCAGATGTGGGAAGTGGGGGGGACACGAGGAAACGTGGGAAGACATGGGGGACCCTGGGATCTGTGTGCGCACTTCTCCTCTGTGCGTCCCTGGGCCCCTTCAGGAGAGGGCCGCAGGCTCCGGAAAGGGGGGGGGCCGAACTCTGCTGCGTGCAGCCGGTTGCGGCCCCGCCGCCAGACGCTCCCTGGCGGCGCGCACAGGGGGGGCAAGGGGAAGGAGGAACCAAGGGCGCCGTCGAGGGCGCGAAGTTATTCGCGCTTCGCGCTTCGCGGTTCGGCTCCGATTCCTCCTCCTCTTCTCCCCTGGGAGGCGGCGCGAGAGCGCGAAGTTATTCGCACTTCGCGCTTCGCGCAGCGCGAAGCGCGAAGTTGGGAGCCCTTGGGGAATTCTCCTTGGAAGGAGGCTGAAGGCCTCTTAGGAACCCGCCTCGCAGAGAGGCGCTGGCCCTGCATCTGTAGACAAGGCCCGCGCCTTTGAGAAGCAGCCTCCTCCTGAGAAGCCTTCCCCCCTCCCCCTGTCCCCCTGTGCGCGACGCCAAGCCGTCCTCGACACATCTGCGCCTGGAAAACCAGCGCCCCCCCCCCGCCCAAGCAAACCCCCTTCTTTTCGGCGGCCAAGGGCAACGAGGTTTCCAGCGCTGCAGCCAAGACGCTGAAGATGAGAACCGCTTGAGGGAGGCTCGTCAGGCGCTCCGTTTTCGGGTCGGTCTTAGCTAAGTGGGCGGAGTCCGCTTAGTCGGGATCGTCAATTCTCTTAAGCCACTTGGGGCACTTGCAGCAACCCACTTATAGTCTAGGTAAGGCTGGATACAACCCACCTGGGCATCCATTCATACCCCACCTTAATCTTTTAGCACCACCCCCCGCGCCGATCCCAGTGGGAAGGGGCAACCGGTCTCGCACGCCGAGAAGGCCCCAAGGGGCCGTGGCGAGCTTGTTCGGTAACAGATCACGGGAGTCTTGTGTGCCCTCGTAACTCCATCTTTCGAGTGCACTAGCGTCGACGACTCGCATCTGGTAGTCGATGAGGTGGCGACGATTTAGCGTCGATTAGCGTCGATTGGCGTCGATTAGCGACGGTTCGTAAGAAGCAACATAATGGTATGGGAGGTTCCCATGAGTTGCCGCAGAAAGCTTGTGCCTCTCGTTCTGTCCTCGTGCATTAGGTTCATGCTTGCTGGTTGGGGCTGTTTCTGGGTACTCTCCGTTGCAGCCAGAGGGCACCGAGGCTGGTCTACAGCCTCAGGATCTGGCCAGGACGCTGGGGAGCGTCAGAGATGCACCCCGTGCGGTTGGAGATGGTTTTTGAAGGGTCTGGCGATAACCTTGGTTATCGGGCGCATCCGCCCCACCTCCCAGCAGACAACCTCACCTCGTCGGTTGCGCAGGTCCGAAGGGGGCACGCAGTACAGGTGCGCGCGGGCATACGTGGGGCTACCCGAAGCGAAAAGGTAAGGCTCTCGGCCAGCACCTCCCTGCCCTCCCCCCCCATCGGATAGCCCAGGCTGTCTCCGAGAAACAGAACAACGGTCTTCAGGGTCGCGCCGCGTCCACGCGGCGGCGACCCTGGCGCGAGCGCTCCGAGATCGAGCGCCGCCGGTCGCCCAGGCTCGGCCGACACGGAGCAAAGCTCACCGTCAGAAAGCCACCGTCGCTCGGGGTTGGGAGGTCCACGCGGTGTCAGAGGCCAGCGCGCGTCGTCACGCCACGATCCTTCCGCACACCCATATCCTGGCCGTTCTCGCTGCTCTTTTCCAGGGCGTGCGCGGGCTGCGAGCTCTGGCAGGCGAGGCCCGGGCGCAGGCCGGTCCGTCTCGCTCGCGCGCCTCGGCTTGACGCGACTCGGCTCGTAGCGCTCCGTCGTCGGCCGCGCTTCGATGCAGGCAGGCTCCGCTCGATATGTTTGCACCGCTTCTCCACTCTCCTCTTCAGTGCAAGGACAGGTGCCTCGTGCTCTGGATGTGGCCTGATGCGATTGCGCGGCGGCTCCCAGTCTGGGTCACTTTTCGAGAGCGGGTTGCTTCGGTTCCCATGCCCGACAGGCGGCAGCGCCGTGATGATGCCCTTCAACCAGGGATGCTCCTTGATGCTAACCGGCTTGTGGGGGCTGCTCTACTACAAGGAGGCCCCTGCACAGCTCGCAGCGAAATGCAAGCAGAAGCATGGTGAGGAGCAGCAGCAGCAGCATACTGGTTATGGCCACTGCCCTCGCTGAGCAGATGGGATCCGTGATCCCTGCTTCAAGTCCTTCCGCTCAGGCTGCTGAGCGCTGCGGTGGCTCGGTGGGACCTGCAAGGCTCACGATCGCCCGACAGCACTTCGCGCTGGCCGCCCTGGTGTCCGCGGAAGACCTGTATGCACCGCACCGTGTTGGCGTCTCCCGAGGCGTCGTCGATCTTCGACCCAGGACTGGCACCGTGCACAGTTCTTCGGCCCTCAGAGCCGTAAACTTGTGCACCGTACAGTCAACCCGCATAGGAAGGATGGGCGACCTTCCCAAGGGCACCCTTGTATCCTTGCCTCCTCGGTCCATCCTTGGCCACTTTCGTTGGCCGCGCCCCGCTCGAAAAGCTTCGAAATGGGCGTCCAAGACCCTCGCATCCTTATCGCGCATCCTTATGATACGGGTTGACAGTGCCGCGTTGGAGCGGGGCCTGAAGGGAGTCCAAACGCGTACGGTGCACGAGCGCCGTTCTCGCATTGGTGCTTGCTCCAACTGCTTTGGTGAGGGGCCCGTTCTGCAAGGCCCGCCTGCGCGGCGGGGAGGGCAGCGCCCAGGCCTCGGGCGACTCGGCTTCTTTTTCGAGTTCGAGTCTCGGGGCCCCCGATTCCCTCGGTGGCGAATCACGGGAGCCTTCTTTACCCTCGGAATTCGTTCTTTAGAGTGCAGTCGCGTCGACTGGCGTCGGGCAATCGACGGGGTAGCGCCGATGTGGCGTCGACCAGCGTCGATCAGCGCCGATGAGCGTCGACTGAGCCTCGATCAGCGCTGGCTGGCGTCGATTTGGGGTCGATCCGCAAGGGCCAACCAGACGGTGTGGGAGGCCCCCTCTGAGGGTTGCCGCAGAAGGCTCGGGGTGAGCGCACGGCCTGGGGCGGGGGTCTGCTCTCCCAGGGCGCCTCCGGCGACGGGGGCTCCCAGTTCGTTGTTTTGGAGGCGGGGGTCTTGGTCAGGCAGGTTCCATCGAGGTGGATGAGCGGGGGAGGTGGCTCTGCGTCCTCGTCCTCCTGCTGCTCCTCCTCCCCATTCCGCCTCCTCCTCCTCCTCCTTGGTGAGGGCACATCGCTCCAGCGCGTTCCAGAACCCTCCCAGAGATTCCACAGCGCTCTGGCCCGCGGGCGACCTGTGTGCACTGCACCGCGTGGGCGTCTGCCGAGGCGTCGTCGATGGCTCGTCCCAGGAATGGCACGGTGCGCCGTGCCGCGTGGGGCCGGGGCCTGCAGGGAGTCCAAGCACGGTACGGTGGGTTCGCGTTGTGCCGACGGTCAGCGACCCCGCCGCCGGCGTTCAACGTTGACCGCTGCTGGCGACCCAGAGTCGGTCGGTGTTGAACGATCTGACGTTTCGGAAGCGGCCGATCGTTCGAGGCTGAGCGATCTCCGCGGTGTCGGGGACCAACGCCGGGGTCACCGGGGTCGACACCACACGATCCCGCGGTGCGGTGCGGTGCGTGCCGTTCTCGTGTTTGGGCGCTGTCTTTTGGGGGCCTCCCAGGGAGTAGAGCCGGTAGCGCTTGTCGAATAGCGCCACAAGGGAATACCTCGGCGACCGTTGTTGGGGAGCGGTCCCTCCCAGCAGAACAGTAGCACTGTACCGCAACACATGCAATGCCAAAGTCACGTCAAGAATGTGTGTCCCCGATGTTAGTGGTCCCGTTTACTGTTGTGATCCCCGTTGTGGTGATGGATTATCCTTCCCGGGACCTCGGTGGGGCCTCCCAGGGCCTCGGTGGGCCTTCCCCGGGCCCCCGGCGGGGCTTGCCCGAGCGGCGAGGCCAGTGCCCCCGCGGGTCCAGGGGCGCCTCCTCGCGCGGCACGAGCCCGCAGGTGCGGCCTCTGGCGGGCGCCTCTCCGCCCCTTCTCCAGGGCTGGACCTAGACTTCAGTCGGGCCCGTCCCTCTGCAGGAGGAATATTCAAAAATAGTCAAAAATTAGTCTGGGGACTATTTTTGAGCATTTTTTGACTATGTTGGAATCTGTTTTAAGTATTTTTCATTTTTCGTCGAAAATCCCCCTGTAGGGGGACGCGCCCGACTTAAACCTAGACGCTGTTTTGCTGGATTTCGGCTGTGCTTTGTCTTCCTTGGGGCACGGGAAAACAGGCCGAGCAGAACGGACCACCAAACGAGAACACAGCGAAAGGCAGCGTTTGGGGCCAGCCCTGCCCTCCCCTCGTTGCAGCTGGCGCGAGGGTCGAGAGCAACCCCGGCCTGGGATCGGC